CCCCGAGAATTCCTGGCGGTGACTTTTCTGAGCCCTGCAGGAGAGCAGGCACCAGCTGAGGGTCTGCACCAGGGATCAATCACGCCTGCTGTTTCCTTATTCCAGAACCCGCAAACCGTTTCCCTTGGATCGTGTGCATTTGGAGGCGAGTGCATTTGTTCTAACGTTTGAAAAGTCAGAACAAAACGAGCACTGATAAAAGCAATGTGTTTGTATCTAGTCCAGGAGGTGGCTTCCTCCCGGGGTGGTTCAGTGTGTCGCTGTCCACTCCTCCCTGGTTTGTGGTTCATACTGAAAGCTGTTTCAGAGACAAATGAGGGAGAGAGTGGGGTAGGAGTGACCTGTTGATGTGCTGCAATCGTCAGCATATGTTTTACAGCTGTGGGGGTGAGAAATGGCCCCAAACTGTTCTCTTGCCTATGTTAGTAGAAAATTCTTTACCCCTAGGATGCCATGTGGTTTTCCCCTCCCCTTTTCACAGATCGTCCCAGGTGACAGGTGGCTTTACATAGGTGCAATATTTATGTCGGAGGTGCTTGCTTTAGCATACATTTTTCCCATGGCTAATAATAGTCAAGAGGAAATCTAAGCTATGTAATTTCAGCCAATAACAGAGCAATAAATGTAAACTAGCTTTTGAGATTTTTAGAGAAGTATTTCATATTTCACAGGAAATATCTTAAAAGGGTCAGATATAGGGCTCAGGGTGTAACTCAGTGGCAGAGCACATCTTCCTAGGTTCAGTCCCCGGCACTGAAAAAGCAAAAATAAAAACAAAAAAAAAGAAGGACAGAAATCCTGAGAGATCTTGAACACACATGCACACACTCACACGTAGATATGTATATATCTCAATAGTAGTAAGTGAGTAGGTGTCCCTATGAGGGTGGAAGATGTTTTTCTTGCCTGCACAATCACTGAAGAGTACAGACTGATGGTTATACTAACGACAACTTTAACATTTGGGTCCATTTCTAGTGCTGTAGGTTTTGTTGATAGAATTACAATGACTTACCTGTGAAGTCACAATTTGTCAAGCTGGAGTCAAAACAAAGTCCACTTACTTTTTTACAGGAAGGAAGCTTGGAATTCATGATGGTGGAAATTTAGGGACCAGGAAGAGCTTACCAAAAAAATCTATCTTATAAAGTGATGAGAGGAATTTGTGTTTTGTCAGTTAGAGGATGACAGATTCACTTGTCGATTAAATGCATAATGGCAGCTAAGAGAAAAAGGAACAGGATAATTTACTTAAGAGGCAAAGAGCTTGTATGTCTGTGTGTTTGGGGGTGAATAAAGGGAACAGACTGAAGATAATGAAGAAAATGCTGACCAACTTTATCCATTTAACAGTGTGTCGAAGTATAATAAGCAAGATTAGAAGTTAGCAAGGAAAAGGACTTTGGGGCATCAGGAGCTTCCTCTTGTTTCACTATCCTGGGAGCAGCAGCCTTTGTCTGCCATGTGGGGCCAGACAGGAGGGGTCTTGGGAGGGTGCTATTTGCTCCTGCAGCGAGTGACCCATTCTGTATGATTCCCAAGCACTCTGTTTTAGTCCTGCTGGTGGGATGGATGTCCAGAGGTTCGGAGGAAATGGTCTATGAAGTGGAGAAATACAACCATGAGCACCGGTGTCTTGGTTTTCTACTCCCTCCCAGTCAATTGTTAATGGTGTCTAGTAATGTTCTTTCCACCCTGCTTCATGGAAAGAGTCAGCTAGCATCTTTCCCTGAGGACCGATCTTTCTGGCTTCAGATCATCCTGGGATTGTTTATATGGGTTATTGTAAAAGTAGTGACTGCACCTGCTGGTCAATAATGGCGAGCCTTTTAGGGACGAATGCCCAAACTGCAACCTAAATTCCACTTATTTATTGAAAAGTGCCAACACTGCAATGAAACCTGGACTCTGAGGTTTTAGTTTAGAAAAAAATAACTCTACATTAATATCTTTTGTCTTAAAGGAGAAATAACACACATGCCATAGGTCCAGCACCACTGTAGGTGGTGAAGCTGGATGTACCATGTGGGCCCTTTGCAGCTTTTAATCACATCTCCTTGAGTAAGGTAGACTCTGGAGTTGGCAATGAAATTCCCAAACAAGTGGGATGGCATACTATCAGATAGAGGTAACTTGCAGATTTTGTTTACTGTCGAGTCTTAGCAGTAATACTGGAAACTTTGAAATTTCAACAAATTCTGCTAGCTTTTCTCATAATAGTTTTAAATTCCATGGATTCCATTCTTCCTGATGACTCTGAAGGAAGATGATGGAGTTTCTCAACAATAGGTTAAAGTTTTTATAGTTCTCAATCCCAATGCCTGTGAGACATGAACTGCTGTAGTTAGAGAGCTGACCACTGTGCCCATTTCACCCCAGATCAAGAAGACAAAATCGAGCTATTGTTGATATTGCTTTTGTTGCAACCATGAGAGCTACAGTTCTCTGGCCATGAAAACCTACAGTTCACATGCAGAGTAAACCATAGCCCAAATGTAGTGAGAGCCCATTGCCGGGAGCATTTGGATAAAATGTAGCTGGCAGAGTCTGCCGCTATATGTTTGCCAGGACCATGCCATTGGCAGGTGGGGCATGCACCGGAGATATCTCAGGAATGCAGTTAAAATTAGGCATGGATGTGATTTTAAAATTATTGAAATTTCTCACTGTTATTGTGGGTAGTTTTATGAAATGATTTTTCTGGATTCTACTTAAAAAGCATCTGGTTCAGAAGATGTCATTTTTGAATGTCAAAAGTTATCGTCATGTACTATAGATTCTAATTTTTGCCAGTGTTTTATCTCTGAATTATAGTTTTTTGTTTTTTTCTGCTAGAAGCAATAATCTGTATAAGTCCCTTCAAGGTCTAACCTCCACTGGTGACCTACAACCATGATCACTTTGCATCAAATGGGACTGTTGCATCACAGTGCTTAGCTGATTTTAGTTTTGTTTGTCCAGAGTGAGGAGGCCCCAGATGGATGACAATTGTTTCCTTTGCCAACTGAAGTGTGTAATACTTGCATAAATACCATTTAAAATTTCTTCCCTGGTTCTAAAAATGTAGAACTATGCCTTTTCAGCCAGGTGTGGTAGTGCGTGCCTGTAATCCCAGCATGCTGAAAGGCTGAAGCAGGAGGATTGCAAGTTCAAGGCCAGCCTGGGCAACGTGGTGAGACTCTGTCTCAAAAATAAGAGAGGTTGGGTAGCTCAATATAAGGCCCTGAAAAACAAACAAACAAAAAAAAACAAGCAATCAAACAAAAACTATGCTTTCTTTAGACTGAACACAGTCCTGGTGTGCATTTTCTCATTCAAAAAAATCTATTAATCTGTAGGCCATACGGCCATTGGAAAAATAGAATCTCAATATATTTACACCTTTTATTGTTAAAGTGATCAAGGACATGCCTTGAATAGTAATAATGTATCATCTTGAGGTCAAATTATGTGGAATAGAAGAAATAGAAGCACATGGTCAAGGATTTAAAAGAATGATACAAACTTCTAACTGTTGAAACATTGCTTGTTCATGGGTTATTTCACAGGTGGTAGTAGGTATTAAATGGCTATCTTTTATAGATTTATTTTGCATACATTTAAAAGAGTAACAACACAGTAGTTTTTAAAGTATCAGTATTTGTAGTATGTCAAAATATATCTTTTACAAAAAAATTCATACCATTTTTGATATCAAATTCCCTTCTTTCTTTTGCTTTACTTTGCTTCCCTTTTAAAATTAAAGTTATTTTAGATGACACATAAAAGCATAAAATTGTACAAATTAATGGGGTAGTATGAGGATCCCTTGGGTTGTTAAAACTTCATGCCAAGTGATTTGTACTTGAAGTCCAAGGTCCAGAGGCAACTCTGGCAGAGCTATCACAGCTCATGGAGGTCAGTGTCACTGTGAAGTTAGCCTTTTGTAGTTTATCTTCCTTCATTCCTTCAAATGTCTGTCAGGCCTGGTGCAAAAGCAGACTGCTGCCTGCCATCCAATGTATTAGCAAATAACATTAGTGAAAAAGTAAGCTAAAATTTGTATACTATAATTTTAATCTAGTAAATGTATGCTTTGAAAAGGTAAAAATACACAGTTACTTTTCTTGTTGCTGAAACACAATATCTGATATCCACAAATTAAAAGAGTAAAAGTGTATTTTAGCTCAGTTTGTAGAGGTTTCAGTCTCATTTTCCGCCCTACTCCTGCCCTCCCTCAACCTCTTCACCCTTCCCTATTTACATTTTTTCCTTTTTTCACAGTTTTTCTTTTCTCTTATTTCCTGTCCCCTCCCCTTCCCACTTTCTCTTTAGCCATTTTCTTCCTATTTCACACAGTTAAACCACTTGAACCTTATTTACACTTTTAGTTTTTCACACCAGAGAAACTATACAGTATGATTATTTCACAAGAAAAAATTTTGGTTCTTAACTCCGTGCTTTTCCATTAATAATCTTATTTTCCTTTTAGCTAAATCAAAAGGTTGTTTTTTTTTTTTTTTTTTTTTTCCTGAGAATGAGTTGGTTGTACTTGCTGGTCAGGAAGGCAGGAGCTCTGCGGAGACTCTCACGTGGAACATGGATGTGACAAAGACACACCCTGCTTTTCTTGGAGGTGACCTTGTCTTTGGCGGAAGCTTTAGTGAAGATATAGTTGGATTTCATTTGTTCAAGCAAAATATAAATTGGCTTCTTTGCAAATCAAATTTTCTGAAGATAAGTCAAAATGTCTACTTAGTGCCCTGGATTCAAATCTGATTAAATGTCTGACTTTTCATGAGAGTGATGCATGTGTGTATGGTGGGTATGAAATCACACACACGTGCACACACCATGTAAAACTGTGACTAAATGCTTGCTGCACTCCCCCAAGGATTCTGTGAAAGGTCACTTCTTTGGGCCACAGTTCAAGGACTGGGAAAGTTCTTTTCTGAGAACTCTGGCTTTGATATCACAGCCCTTCTCTGGAACGTGCTTCCCTTTCCAGTCGCCCCACGTCCTGCCCTCTGTGTTCTTGGTCTTGGTGTTCTTTCCAGCTGGAGAAAGGGCTGAGTGAGTAGCATGTGATCTGGGGTCTTGCGAATGTCGGTTCGAAGGCTATTTGATAAGGACTTAAATGGCACGGGGAAAGCATTTTACCCACCCTGGCTCTGTCTTCCTTCTCCATACTTGGGTAAGATCAGTGATGATGGCTCAGGATCTAGAGAGAACCCTTGCGAAGGACATAGTGTCGACGAAAAGGGTTTGATCTTTCTCGTTTTCACTGCTCCTCTTTTTATAAACACACATGCTTGAGACAGCGAAAAGAGAAGAGCGTTGTCTGAGTGGAATGGGAGAGCGGGACCTGGTCTCAGCGTGGGCAGTGGACAGGCGAGAACATGGCCTTGCCACAGCACAGGCTCCCTGATTTGAACTTCAGCTGAGAACATTCGCAGGTTTGATTAGCTTTTTGCAGGGTACCAAGGTCGAATACGGACCCTTCCGGATTGGTCGGTCTTTCTGCCACAGCCTCACTCCTCTCCCCCTCTTCCTCTTCCTCTTCTCGTTCTCCTTCCTCTCCTATTTCTCCTTTTCCTCTCCTCCCTCTGTCTCTTTAATAAATGTTTCGACGCTTACCCAGCCTCGCCTATTAACTTTCTTCTTCCCTCATTCTGGTTGCTGTCATACAGTCATGCGATTACAAATCAAAATTACAAAATGAAAAAAGAAAGATGCTTTGGACGAGAAACAGGGCCTGCATGGTGTCGGCTGCGTCCCATTACACAGCATCTTGGACACAAATTAGAAACACCTACCCTGCTAGCCAGATAAGAGCCCACAGCCCTGAGGCCAAAGGGAAAGCCTCAAGTTGTCCACGTGAGCTTCTTTCCTATCCAGAGCTTCACCTTTCTTTCATTTTACTCCAGACGATTTGCCCAGGGTGACGAAGACATCACAGGGAGGTGTGGGCTGTTTCCATCACCTTACGGTGGCGGGTGCTGTGGAAATACTTCAGGTCCCCACAAGGAGCAGGTGGCTGGGCTACCGTAACTGTGCAGTGTGTCAGCACCGATGGCTATCGGGGGAAACAATAAGAATATTAATATTGTAGGGACAGATTCGGGACTTTTATTTTCTGTTCAGCAGTAAACAATATGTTGCCATGGATACCTTTAACTCTTTTCAAACAATATTTAAAAAGGAGTGTGACTAAGGCGCCTGCTTTTCCCATATTTACCTGCCAAATGTGAAATTATAGATACTTGAGTGATCTGAACTTCTCAAGCTGGAAACAGCCTCACAATTCAATTAGGTCCTAATTATTTACTTTACTAATTACCTCAATAAAATATTTCTGTTACAAATGAAGCCACTAATTAGGGAAAATGAATGTTAATAATTTTGTTTTGATTTAGTAATATTTATATATGCAAATAGGCTTGTGGGTTTTAAACAGTGTCAAAACAACAACAAAAAAGATTCATTTTGTTTTGTTTAAATGTATCACTACAAAATTTATCACTACAAAATTTGTTTCATTTTCGTAGTGTTCTGGAGAGAGCCTGGATACATTTATACCTTATACTTAGATGGAGTACTTTTTATTTAGAAAATGTTTTTTACTGGGGATTGAACTCAGGACCTTGTGCTTGTGAGGCAGGCGCAGCACTGAGTTAGATCCTCAGTTCTACTTAGGCTGAGTTTTGTTTCAAATGCCAATCTCAGTGACATATTCAAAGGGCAAATGGTTTCTTATTTCCTTGCCTCCTTTGCTTGATGCTTAATTTCTTTGTTGAAGATATTGGAAAGCAAGAATAGGGAGAGATTTAAATGCTAATTTTGTGTTTTATAAAGTTGACTATGAGAGACTTTGAAAATATAATAAAGAGGAGGGTGAATATAAAAAGGTGAGGGGTTAGGCAGGGGGAGGAGGTGTTGCATTATCCCTACCATGGGGCTTTGTCTGGAAGTGAGGGGTTGTGTCAGACAACCAACAACAAATGCTGGTGGGGCTGTGGGGAAAGAGGAACCCTGCTCCACTGCTGGTGGGAGTGCAGACTGGTGCAACCACTGTGGAAATCACCATGGAGATTCCTCAAAAAAACTAGGATTAGAGGTTCCATTTGGTTCCATTTGACCCAGTTCCCCCACTTCTTGGTATCTTCCTAATAGAATTAAAAGCGTCATAGCAAGACATACATACACACCCACGTTTATAGGTAAGTCTTGGAAACAGCCCAAATGCCCATTAACTGCTGAATATTTTTTTTTATACAGTGGAGTACTACTCGGCCATAAAGATAAATTTAAGGCACCTAAAGCTAAATGGATGCATCTTGAGACTATATTAAGTGACATGAACAGGATACACATGTGCAAATACCTAACTGTTTCTCTAGTGTGAGAAAGTATAATCGAGGACCAAACTGTACAGTAGATATGTATGAAATAGAAAATGTTCAAATGGGAAGGGGAGCTCGAGAGGGGAGTGAGGGAAAGGAGGGAAAATGAGAAAAGCAGGAAACAGTGGAAGCGAGGAGGGGAATGGGGAAAAGAACCACGGTCCATCACGTACAGGTACAGGTTCTCAGTGACGAGTGTGATAGGCATTACGTAAGGCCAAACGGTACTGAGAGACTCAACCATCTGAAAAAGAATGAGTTTCCGAGGATAGCACGTTCTGGGCGTGGATCGAGGAGAGGAGAGAGTGACCCGGGGTGAGGTAGCTGACTAATCTTACACATTCTGCGGTAGTTCCTCCTCCTGTGAATCGCGCCCCAACCCTGACTTCACCTCTGTACTTTATAAAATGCACTAAAATATGAAATGGGTCGATACTGGAAAATCGGGGGAGTAACCGTGAACCATGCCGAGAAAGCCATGAGTCCCATGGTGGAGTCGGGAGGGCTGCAAACCACGTGGGCTCTGCAGCCTGGGGAGACCCTGACACGGTGCCGTCCCCTCAGAAAGTCAAACGGAGTCTGCACAGGTCTCCGTGAAACTGCAGACTTGAAGCTGGCATTTCACTCCTGCTCCAAGGCCCAACAATTTCCTGAGGAACTGGGGTCCTCTGCATAGGCGCTCACCGGAAGCTCGGCTCCGCTCCGCTCCAGGGAGGGTTTTCTTCTCCTAATGGGGTCCGCGTGCGCAGCAGAGGGACAGCGGAGTGAACTGACCTCTCGCTGGTCATCAAAGAAAGTGGAGTTGTCATAGCCTGCCCTTTCTACTTGACTTTGAAGTGGGTATTCTGGACTAAATATTTGCAAGTAAGGTGTCTGTACGAAACATTGATTCATAAAGTGTAGGAAGAAAGTCGCTTTGTTCGTTTTTATTAAGCTTAGTTATCAGCTTGAAATAGTGTTTTTCTTGGCTGTCCTCCTCCTCCTAGGGCACGATGCCAAAAGTCTCTGCCCCACTTTCCCTGGTGAAGGAGTGAACCATGGACAGTGAAATGTCCACCCTGGGCATAAGCCGTGGCATCTTCACGCAGGGGACACACTTGTCCCGGAGGAGGCCTGGGCTGAGCGGCTGAAGCGGGAGCACAGGTGCCCCCCTCCCCGGCAGCACGACTGGGAGAGAGCACTTCCTGGCGGGATTTGTACTCGTGGACAAGTCTGTGAGTCCCGCCTTCCTCTTCCCGTGTGATGCACTCCCACACCTGGCACAGGCCTCCTGATGAACCCGACAGATGGGGCACATCGAGTTCCGTGGCAAGGATCAGAATAGCTAACGGGCCTGTGAGCCATGTGCACTGCCCCGCCATCCCCCTGGAGGAGAGAGGGACCCCGGGTATCAGGGGTGGACAGAAAGGTAGCGGGAGCAGAGAAGTCTGAGTCACCCAGTCTTCGGGACCCAGGAAGAAACGTGCTCTCCTGAGTGAAATAATCAGGTACAGGAGGTTAAATTCCACATGGTTTCTCGAATACGAGGGACACTATATATCAATACAGAGTAAAATAAAGGGGACGGTGGGAAAGACCTGGGGAAGGAGGCACAGCAAGGGCATGGGAGTGGGCATAAAAGTGATCGGGATGTGGTGTGTATGTACCGATTTCCCCAGGGCAAGTGTGGTCATTATATAGTTAAAACATGTAGCTATTGAAAAAACATGCACTTTTCATCTTGAGCTTCTGTTAGCTCTAAGTAGAAGTTTTTGATAAATTAGAAAGTTCCTTCTCTGTGCTTTTCTCTTTAGAGTGCCTTCCATAAATGGGAACCTGTACATGTTCTGTTTTTCGCTATGTAAAGAAAGGCATGTGATCGTGGGAATGCTGCAAAGCGTGAAGAGGAAGCAAAACAGAGTTAGAAACGTCACTGTCCTCTACCCTGCCCCTTACTGGTGCGATGAGTCTGAAGGCATTTGATCTAGTGAGGCCTCATGCTGCGGTCACGAGTAAAGGAGGATGGCAGTCACCTACTTTCTTGGGCCGTGATGAAGAACATTCAAAGATCTGGAAGATACAATGCTGATCCCATGTTAGTTCCTGCTAAGAGGAGGTAGTTCTGGTGCACTGGCCCAATTCATTTGCACATAATGGAAGATCTGGTCTTGGTTTTTCTCTTCTTTCTGTTTTAGGGCAGTAATGGGGAGTGAACCCAGCTGAGTGTTATCCTCAGCTCCTTTATACTTTTTACTTTGAGACAGTCTCCCTAAATTGCTAGGTTGTCCAGGTTGGGCTTGCACTTGTAATCTTCCGGCCTCAGCCTCTCACTGTTGAATTACAGACATGCTCCGCCATGCCCAGCTTGAGTCGTCTTCAATTCTCTTTATCTTGATACAATTATGATTCACATTTTCTAAAATTGCAATGAGTTATCTTTCAGAGCAAACAGGTGTTCAAGTGATTTCTTATTTTATGTTACAGCAGAATGTTGACATCACCACGTCATATTTATTCACTGCCCCCGAAGCCAGTTTTGTCATACCCAGCCTTCAATGACGTTGTACCCCTCCCCTATGGTTAGGTGGTGAACAGTTTTTCCTTCCTGTCTGCTGTGTGTACAGACTTAGCACTTTGGGAGGTGCTATAAAAAGGACAGTCTTGTTTTTGAAGGAATGTGGTTCAGAAGAG